TTTTTAATTTACTGAGTTTTAAAGGCATAAAAAAATTCATAAATCACTGTTTCTAAGGATACAGAGAGATCCAATCAATCAGACAAGGGGTGGTAGCGTGTGCATTTTTATTAACTTTTGTTGTATCAGTTATTAGTTACGTTTTGAAAAGGGGTTATGCTTAGGTAGGGTAGGGATGTATTTTTCAACGAATTCTGACATCTGTTAAATGCATGCCGTCTGTTTTTTATTTTAATTTTATTGTTAACTGCAAAAAATTCTTATGGCATTTTTTCTATTTGTATTCTTAAAGATTTGTTGGGGATGTTTAGGTTAGAATACTTTTTTTTTAACTACAATTTTAAAATATTTTCACTTTTAATTTTTAATAGACTATATTTCTTTTAAAACAAGTAAATATACTAGAATTACTTACAGTATATAAAATTATTTTTTCATATCAAGTGTAAGTATGTATATTACCAGGTCACATTTTTTTAAAAATTTTATTTTTAAATATTATTTAAGGAAAATTTTTGACAATGACGGCATAAAATTCATTTCTCTGATTTAGTACACTTTTATTTTTTATAAACTTAGTAATATATAGTTTCTCATATATTTAATGGCCTACATATTCTAGCTTTTCTTATTAATTTCAATTAATAGTAGGTATTTTATTGGATTCTTTTAAGTGCTAGAAAGCTTTTAGCTTCCATTTTTGAAACATGGTCATTACTGGGTAACGAAGAAACATATTTTAAATCAGTTAATTTATAATAATATAATATACTATAGATAATTGATTAAAAAGACTTAGAATATTGATGAAAAATATTTATGAAAGATAATTTTGGTTATATGTGATGGTTCTTTTAATATGTGGTATAAAATAAATCAGGAATCTGATGCGGATAATCTCATAAGTAACAGCACGGCCATTATAGCAAGAAATAGAAACAGCATGAACACAGATTCCAAATAAATAAAACCCTGGGGATATTATGAGAGGAAAATGGACGAAAAGCTTTCTGTGGGCACTCCCAGTTATATTCTTGAATTCTGAATATACAAACAGAACTAAGTAAGACTATAAAAAGAATAAAAATTCGAATCCCGAAAGGTCCAATTTTGTAATTCAAAGAGGAAATAAGACGGCCATTACATCAAAAACAGCATAGTAGTCCTTACAAATCAAATGTTTATGAGAAGAAGGGCGAAAAGCTTTTCATAGGCACTCCCTGCTATAATCGTGAAAAGCAACAACGAATTATGACCATATAGAATGAAAGAACATTATTTACAAGGACACATAGCACAGTGGATAAAGGCGTTGGTTAGATCCAGTGACAGGACCGAAAGAGTGTGAGTTCAATACCCGCTTAAGGCAATTAACAGATAACTGACATCCATTAAACATGGCACGTGCAACTAGAACAGTCTACCCCAGTGAGCGAAATAAAGTGTTCAGTTCGACATTCCAACCACCTGAAGAAAGCCGGAGCGTACAATGGCCGAAACGTTGTAATAAATATGACGACAAAGATGAGGACAATAGTCCGAATAATCTAAATAATGTACATAATACCTCATCTCAGAAATATAGACAAATAGTGAAGGGCCGAAATGTTGTGATAAATATGGCGACAAAGATGAGGACAATAGTCCGAATAATGTAAATAGTGTACATAATACCTCATCTTGGAAATATAGACAGATACTGAAGGGCCGAAACGTTGTAATAAATATGGCGACAAAGATGAGGACAATAGTCCGAATAATGTAAATAGTGTACATCTCAGAAATATAGAGATACTGAAGGGCCGAAACGTTGTAATAAATATGGTGACAAAGATGAGGACAATAGTCCGAATAATGTAAATAATGTACATAATACCTCATCTCGGAAATATAGACAGATACAGAATGAAGGAAATATAAACAAATCACACACAGACTCAAGAGGATTCCGAAACGTCTAAGACGTAAAATGCAAGAGGAAAACTTAGAATGCGACATAGGAAAGATCTCCATGAGAAAGAAACATACTGAGATGTTAGAAGGACAGGGTAGAATGAAAGCGGGAAATCCGTAAAAGGAAATAAAGTATAGAAGGAGTATAAGTTCTACAAGCTATATAAACAACGATGTTTTCCGGGTGATATAGTGATATATGTGCATGTGAGACATTGGCTGATTTACATCACAGAACAGACTTATCCCTTCGCCCACACGCGTAGAATCTGACACAAAGTCGAGTTTAAACTGATATTTCGGTAAGGGGACATATATGAAAGGTCGGTATGGTGTAGTAACAAAAATCGTCATCAACGACACATTGATACACGAATTAAACTGCTTGTTGAATAGTATTGAATACGATTTACCCCATAATATCATAATGTAATGAAAATTAACTTATTTAACAAAATGAAAATCTACCGTTATATCGTTCGTAGAATTCATTAAACAAAAGCATAGGAAGTTTATTTACTAAGCTTATACGGCGACAAAGTAAATTCTGGTGGTCCTAGTGGATATTTTAAAACGATATCTACGATTTTATTCGACCGCATACTGCAAATGAAACACCATTTTCACAAGAAAAGTTCAGTTTTACTAATGCTACCCATGCATTTAACTTTGCATCATAGCTGTAGAAATTTTCTATATTATTAAAATAAATGATTGACTGGTTCGTTTTCTACGGTTTATGAAACTTCTGTAGGTTATTTAAAGCCATAATATTTTTAGACTGTAAAAATATTTTTAATGATTTAAGTTATACAAGTCTTATTAATTAACCCATAGTAGGTGGAGAGAAAAGATATATTCATAAATTTCCCAATGCTATTTGAAAGGATTATAGCGAACACAACTCGGCTCTCTGATTAATAATACCGAGCCATTATTCATTACACCACCCGCACACCCAAGCCATCACCCATCTAGGTACTCAGCAGACTCGACGTGCTTAATTTGGGTGATCCCACGAGAACGGATGTTTCAACGTGATATGGTCGGAAGCTTTAATGAAATCAATATTTCCGTAGAAAATAAATACAGAATTTACCTGCCACGTCTAATGAACTGTATACGGAAGGTCAAAATTAAAAAGAAGCATTATTACGAACCGTCTGACTCTTCGTTATTCCAAGGTCTCAGCTATTAGATCCCTATGCCTTACCTTCTGAAATGTTGATCGGAAACCTTCATTTCATTGTTGGGTATATATTCTGCTTATTCCTTTACCTGCAATTTCCGGGTGAAAACTCGTGACCTTCTATATGAGACATTCTAATGGCGTCGATCAGCCTCTTTCATAACAGACTGAATATTTTTTGCATACCTTAGCGCAGGAATTGAACTTTTAGAACACCAGAGCGGGATTATCGACTCACCCATATCCAGGTAATGTAGTCAGACCGTGCAGAAAACCACCGTGGTAGACAAGACCAGTATAATCCCCGTGATTCAAATGAAGGGTTTTGTTCGAAATTCTCGCAAGGCTATAACGAGGCGGACAGGTACACGAGAAAGGCTGCGTGAATCGAATCGTGATGAAGGCAACAATGCCGAGGAAACTGCTCCGAACGAATGAATATGTAAAGTGTTAACAATAGCAACCTCGGCCTACGATATTTTCATTCTTCGTTAAGTCGATAACTTTTACGTTTTCATGTAAAGGAAGAACGCGATGTCGACTCATTGGCACTGCGAAATCACCAACATTACTACGCCTTCGTTTTGGGAATATTATTGGTAAAAACGTATTAAAACCTATTTCTAGTTTTAAACGCAGATAATAGATAAGAAAGTGAGAGGATTTCATTTGTGTGCCAAAGAGCTTCTAATAACTTCTAGGTGTCATTGTATGAAGACTTATACGAAGAAAAGGGCGAAAAGTGTCTCTCTCTTTTTCATGTTTTTATAAAGAAGAAACCACAGGAAATAAACTAAAGCCGTTTACGGGGTACTTCATAGTCCCCAGCGAACCACGTGTCGCATTGTATACAGCGAAGTTGATAATTACCAAAGCAACATCAAGCTATTCTCCAATGTAAATATAACATCTTCAATTCGAATTTAAACACGTCGTCCATAAGAATAAAGGCATCTTACTATGCACTCTTACTTCTGCTATTTGTTATTTTATCATATGGTTTTTCTAAGGCAATAAAAGGCCATTGTTATATCTTCCATATTGTCTTCGAGAAAATACCACATGCAACCACTATATGATCCCCACATGTCGACCATTCAGTTAATAAATTACACTGTATATTTTCATCAGTTAATTAATTACTTGCATTATTTACATTATTCGGACTGTTATCCCCATCTTCATTGCCATATTCACAACGTTTCGACCGTTGTACGCTCCGGCCTTCTTCAGGTGTTTGAAATTTCGTCCACCGGTGTAGAGTGTTCTAGTTCCCTGTGCCTCTTCCGGATGTCTCAGTTATCTCCCTTTAATTCAACTCTCCAAGTTTTTGTCCACCCCTGCAGTGGCCTGGTATTGAACTCGCAACTCCTTGGGTCTAGACACTGGATTTAACCAACGTTTTAGCCACTGGGACATGTGTCCTTGTGAATATGACAATGAAGATGAGGATAACAGTCCGATTAATGTGAATAAGGCAAGTAACCATAATATCTTATCTCAGAGATATACAGAATTAATTAATGGTAACAATATCGTGAAGCACGTGACTACGATTTAAACGATCTATTTCCTTGCGATGCATACTAAACTTATCTGGGTAAGGTACACACTCAAGTGTGTGTTGAAGAAAATTGTAATACACCATTCATTTAATAGGAGGGTGTCTGCCTGGATACAGCATCGCTATTGTGCACACGTATCATTCATTGGCCATTGGAAACAATACAAATGCCTTAAAACTTCCCCACGTGCAAAGGACAAATATTGTACTAAATACGGATGTTAAACTCTAAAACAAAAATAAAAGGACCCAATGTCGGTTTTATTGAAGCTTATAACGTCTTGACATAATTAAATGCCATTATTTATCTATCTATCTATCTATCTATCTATCTATGTAGTTATTTGTCCAATTCGTGGCTTTTTTCCATTTTGCATCTATCTATCTATCTATCTATCTATCTATCTATCTATCTATCTATCTATCTATCTATCTCATTCTGTTCATTATCTATCTATCTATCTATCTATCTATCTATCTATCTACATGTATATTTACGCAGTATGTTTTATTCTATGTATAGAGTTTATGAATATTCCCCCTCTCTTGATGACAACCAGTTCAAACCATTCTCTCTTTCCCCCTTTTTCCGACAACGCATTTTCTCTTCTCAATGTTTTTACATAATTTCGTGTTACCGCCCCCCCCACCCCACACGACCAAGCCCATCGTACAATGGAAGAAATGTTCGTGCGTGCTCTCAGACTTTTGCTTCTCGTATCAGTGAACGCTGAAGGCCATATTCAGTTTGAAAGTTTACGCGATCAGGTCAACGTCATTCCTACCTCACCAGTCACTTCCACCGACATGTTTCTCTAGATTTTGGCGGCTCCAACTTCAAAGTTCCTGTATTTTCGATAGCAGTTCTCCTGTAATAATTGCCAAAAAGACCGCCAGATATTTATAAAGCTTATCCAAACTTTCTTTCCTTTCTTTTATCTCCAAGGCCCCAACAAACTCTTTTGCGTACGAGGTGTTTCGCCATCCACATACAAAAAACAAACATATGTGCATATATTGTTCTGTATACACCATGTTCGTTTTCACCTGATGTTTTTTCTAGTTTCGACATAAAATAGATTTACTGGCGTGTTTGGCTCGAGTCCCATTCTATAGCAACTGATATTTCCCTAACCACTCGCTTATTACAGTTTTTATTTTGTTAAATTTTAAAAAATCACTATTCACAAATTTGGCTAATGACGGTGTATTTATTTGTCCTCCCTGGGTGAGCTACGGTAGAAGGTGTGCTCTCCTCGTAACATGAACATGGGCATAGTGACCAAAATTGCTGAATCTGCTTTGGCATTATTTTATTTTGGCGGGGGAAACGCTTCGGGCTTCAGAGATTGCAACCTCCCACAGCTAGTTAATGACGCTGTGATTTCGAAAAAAGATCTGGCTCATCTTCGTTCCTGACATAGCATTCTTAACTTGCATTTTATATGTATGTTTTTTTAATTTTTTTTTCTTTTCTTAGCTTCGGTAGGAAATTCGTAAGTATTTAAGACATGTATATAATCCTTGTTCCTTTAACTCTCTTTTTTCACTAGAACGATGGTGAGTTAGCCGAGTTCGAACACTATCAGGTTTTCAGAAAGACTATTTTGAAGGATACCTTTTTAGAAAATAATATCCGATAATGCATTTCGCCTCTAATGGCTTCATCGGGTGCATAAGGAATAGATGTGTTATGTGTGTATGCATTTGTATGTATTAAAAAGAAAATTAAATCTTATATTATTTTGTTCCAAGCTGGCGTTGGTCGAGACTAAAGAGAGAAATAAAAGAAGTAACTTTAAAAAAAATAAGGGAAATCTGTACGATTAAAAAAAAATGCTGTCTGGATATGTGTGTCTGTATGTGTGCGTATGTGTGTGTTTGGGTATGTTAGCAGAAAGAGTAAGAGGATACATACATATATATATATATATATATATATATATATATATATATATATATATATATATATATATATGAAGGAATATACGCTTAAGGTGTGCTATATTCATGGGATAAAGTGCTCAATATCAGAAATAAAGCGCATGTAAATATAAATATAAAAATGAACAATGAAGTCAATACTCAGAAGCGACAGACTGTTCCATACTAGACGCAATCATCAGGCCGTCTGGCATGTTCACTTGTATATATATATATATATATATATATATATATATATATATATATATATGGATGAGAAAGAGAGAGAAATAGAAGAGCGTAAAGTAAAAAAAATGCGTAGATGACAAGTTTATCTTTATCACTTCCATTCTCTCCTTTTCTCTGGGTTGGTTTGCCCAAATAAATGATCCTCACACGTCAGGCTCAAGTTCGTCCCAAATTAATCAAAAGTTGCCACGCGAAGACCACCTTATGTTGGTTTCTCACTGAAGCCATGACAAGATCACAATTTTACGCTGGCCTTAAAGTGTGTTCCTCGACGAGAAGACAATCATTTGTTGGTTTTGAGCCGAGATCCCAGGGGATGACAATTTCAAGTTGTCTATACACTGTGGTCCCAACGAGATGAGAATCCTACGGTGGGTTTACACTGAAGTCAAAGATGATAATCTTAATTTTGCTTTGTGCTGAAGCCACAAGATGACAATTTTACGCTGGTCTTGTAATGAGGCCACGACAAGACAAGCTAATGTTGCCTTTGCACTGAGGTTACAACTTGATAATAATCCTAAGTTCACTGAGGCCCCCACGAGATGACAATTATATTCTTTGAACTGTGGTCACTCGGAGATTGCTTTGCACTGATGTCACAATAAAATGAAAATCTTACGTTGCCTTTGCACTGAAGTCACGACGAAATGACAATCTTGCGTTTACCTTGAATTGAAGCCACGACAAGATGACAATTTCACGCTGGACTTTGGACTGAGAACACTTTGAGAAGACAATCTTATGGTGGATTGAATTTGTTTCGTTTTGGTTCCCAATAAGATAACTATCTTACGTTGGTTTTGTACTGAGGCCTCGACGAGATGACAGTAACATGCATTTTCTTTTCATCCCTTATAAAAACGTTAAATAAAACTCCAGCATTATTACTCGTTTCTCGTTGATCTCTTGCTATTAATTTTATGATATTTCTTTCGTTCAGTTACTTCATTTTTTTTTTAATCATTTCTTTCTCGGACTTATTCTTCCTTTCTTGTCGCCATAAATTTAACGTTCTTTAATTATTACAAATTTTCTACTTTTAGGCATCAAACGTGTGTGTTTTTTTTGTTTTTTTTATCTCTACTAAACAATTACTAGTGTAACTTTTTTTTTTATCACGCTTCCACTTGCCAACATAATTTTTATTTTCAAATTCTTTTATAATTTCATTTAACGCGGTCCCAATTTTACCTTAAAATTCTTTTAACTGTAATTCTGAATAATATATTACTTGAATGGTTTTTGCTTTTCCTGTTGGAAGCCCTACAAATATTTTTTTTTCCTCTAGCTTTCCCTCTTCTTGTCTCTCTTTATTTATTTGGCTTCTCACTCTCTTTAACCCTCGTCCCACTATAAGCGCAAATCCCCGCACCTCCGTCCCACTAATAAGCGCAAATCCCGCACCTCCGTCCCACTAATAAGCGTCCCCGCACCTCAGTCCCATTCTTTTTGCTTTCATATAACTTGTTTTCTTTCTGACGAATTAAATACATACTTGCATATTTTTAGTTCAAGTATGCGAATTTTCTTATCTCTAAGAATTAATACGTCTGGCCCAATGACAAAAATAACTTATAATAAAATCACACACACATAGACACACTCATACACGCATACGCGGCAAGTAATTTGTCGACAGACGTAACCACAGTTTTATACATTTACTCAACTTAGATAAGTATGGTAAAAGGTCATAGAGGAAAATAAAATTTAATCTAAGATTCTGTTGCGTAAGTTCTGTGTAATTTGGGTTGTGTACCAGAATTTGAAAAGAGTTGGTCTAGATTCATGCTATGAAAAACATCATTCAAAATTCCGAATATTATCTCAGCTCTCAATTGGAAATACTCAAATGTCCTAGTCATTATACATACCTCATATAATGGCATGTAAACATAAAATTAAAACGAGGCATATATATTAACTGCATAACATCAAACAATAGAGATATAAATATTACCTGCCCTATATATATATATATAAATATATATATATATATATATATATATATATGTGTGTGTGTGTGTGTGTTTGTATGTGTTTGTGTGTGTGTAAAATATATATATATATATATATATATATATATATATATATATATATATATATATATATATATATATATATATATATATATAATATATATATATATATGTATAAAGAAAGAAAGAACAGTAAGATATATAATCCAGTGTTCTTATTATGTTAGATTTCATTGAAAAATACATCCCTACCCCCTACCAAAACGTAACTAATAACGGATACATTAAAATACAGCCATAATGAACACGCAGACACCCCTTGTCTGGTGGAAGTGGATTCATCTGTAACCTTAGAAACATGAATTATGATTTTAGCTGTGTCATTAAAACTCAGTAATTTTAAAATTTACTCCAAAATTCGCTTGAGGATGAAATGGAACTAATGTCTTTAATTTAATTACAAAATTAAATTCAGGGCTTTTAGCTTCCATTTTTGAAACAGGGTTAGAACTGTGTAGCGAAAAAAATATATTAAATCAATTAATATATATATATATATATATATATATATATATATATATATATATATATATATATATATATATATATATATATATATATATATATATATTAAATCGAGTTCTCTCAGTCACTGTGTGTTTACCTAAAAATAAATACGCTATAAATTCACCTTCATCCCTGCCGTGCGCCAACGGCTTAGTGGTAGAATCCCCAACTGATGCAAATTCAGTCGGGTTTCGATCCTAGCTAGAAGCAACTGGACGTCTAGCCACACTGATGAGCTGTGATACAGCAAAACAGTCTGTCTGTGGATGACTATATATATATATATATATATATATATATATATATATATATGCGTCACGTATTGGAAACCGCCCAATATCAGTGATAGTGAGCCACTACCGTAAATCACCGATACACGCAACCATAAATAAATCCAAATTTTAAAAAAAATTAATCAGTATGTCTGACGACCGCGGAGAGCGTGAAACCCAGGATCACGAAAACCACATCAATCATCTATATATATATGTTTGTGTGTCGGAGTGGTTGCAATGTTCTCTTTCCAACCATGACAATTAGGTACGAATGTAATCGTAGTTAATTCGTCAGGAAGGTGTTTTTTTTTTCTTTAATCTGTCGGACCGAGGAAACAATCCCAGCATGTAAAACTTTCTGCAAGTGACTAAAATCCGCACCCCGTTTCATCCGGGGCTTTTGGGTTAAATTGTTTCGACGGAACTGTTCAAACGCCGCCGACTGTCCTGCTAACACGAAGTCATAAGTCATCGTAACCGAGGGTTTAAATGTTCGGGCCCTGTTCAAAATGAGGATCCCGTCTGATCATGTGATCTGCCACAGAAACCGGAGCTAAATTCCGCTCAGCATTGTTGTAATATAAACTACAGGTGTTGAACAAACACATATATGAGCAAATATCGGCCTGCAAATGGGATTGGCTAGCCGCCATGACGAACGGTTGTACTTGGAAGCAAGTAAATGTCCTTATTATTAATAGAAGGGGATAGATTCGCCTATCGTCCTGTAGACCCTATTCCTCGGTCTTTTGAACAGCAGTTTTATACTTTTTTTTTTCTTTTTTAGGATTGGGTTTCCGTCTCTTTCATTCCCAGTAGACCCTTGCGTCTTAATGGCATTATAGAAAGAAAATGGTATTTTGGGAGACTTTGGTTAGGCTGAGAATTTTTCAGAATGTTTTCGGACACATCCCCCTGCAAACGCATTCATATATTCATACATATATTTACTATTTACTGAGCATTTTAAAAAAATAATATAGAGTATTCATTGTTTAGTTGTAATGGTCAACATGACTAGCACACCAGCCCATAATCAACACTCGTATTTTTAATGTTAAATTAGTTTAGCACAAATTCACATATCTGTGGCACCCAACAAACATCGAATTCATTACTCAGTACTTGTGATGTACGGGGCCTGAACGCCAACTATCCAAGGCCGAGGCGTCATTTTTCTAAGCTGAGCTCAGTTTGACACATCGCTTCAAGTATGCGGCACCCAGTGAGGATCAGATTAACTTATGAGTCGTAATGGTCATCCAGAATAGATGGATAACCATTAACCGACGCCGCGTGGCTCAAAATATTTGTTAATCTTAGCTTTGTGCATGGCCACTAGTGTTGTTCACTCGTTGTGGGTCGAAGAGTCAGGCAGAAAATTACTGAGGAGCCTACCTAAAGATCTTGTGAAAATTGATGGCAGGGGGTCGGACACACATTGTTTAGAGCGACAAAGAGGTGGAAGTTGTGGAGAGTCATGATCGTTTATGAAAGAAGAATCATTTATTTCTTTATTTTTCTCCTTTATTTATTCTTCTTCTATATTTTTTTTGTATTCGTATTTGTCCTTTCTGGTTTCTCTTCAACTGATACATTGTCTTGAAATGCACCTATATTTTCTAATCACTTCCTTCCTACTACGAAATCATTCATTCATTCATTCATTCATTCCTTAATTCCTTAATTACTTCCTTCCGTCCCTCCTTCCTTCCTTCCTTCATTCCTTCCTTCATTCCTTCCTTCCTTCCTTCCTTCCTTCATTCCCTCCTTAATTCCCTCCTTCCTTCCCTGCTTCATTCCTTCCTTTCCTCTTTCCTTCCTTCCTTCCTTCCTTCCTTCCTTTCCTTCCTTCCCTGCTTCCTTCCTTCCTTCTTTCCTTCCGTCGTTCCTTTCTTCCCTCCTTCATTCCCTCCTTCCTTCCTTCCTTCCTTCATTCCGTCGTTCCTTTCTTCCCTCCTTCCTTCCTTCCTTCCTTCCTTCCTTCCTTCCTTCCTTCCTTTCCACCTTCCTTCCTTTCCTTTCCTTTCCTTTCCTTCCTTCCCTGCTTCGTTCCTTCCGTCGTTCCTTTCTTCCCTCCTTCATTCCCTCCTTCCTTCCTTCCTTCATTAATTCCTTCCTTCTTTCCCTCCTTCCTTCCTTCCTTCCTTCCTTCCTTCCGTCGTTCCTTTCTTCCCTCCTTCATTCCCTCCTTCCTTCCTTCCTTCATTAATTCCTTCCTTCTTTCCCTCCTTCCTTCCTTGCTTCCTTCCTTCCTTTCCTCTTTCCTTCCTTCCTTCCTTCCTTCCTTCCTTCCTTCCTTCCAATAATTCATCTCATCTTTCCTTCCTTTAAAAATAAATATATATCGATTCCTTCCGTCTCCTGTCTAAAGTGTTTTAATTCCTTACTATTTCCTTCTCAAGCAATTTCTTTTTCCTTCCCGTCCATTTTTCCTGCCAATATTTCAAACTTCTATAATTATTTCCTGCCATTCTTCATTCTACCTTTCAAACAGTTTATTTTCTCCATCTTTCTTCCGCTAAAACAAATCTATTCCTTCCGTCTTGCGTCTAAAAATGTTTCTTCATGCCTTTCTAAATAATTTCTCCAAACATTAATTTCTTCTTCCCTTCCAATAAGTCCTTTTCGATCATTCTTCCCCCGTTCTCTTTTCCATCTCATCAATTCTTCCTGCTTTCTTTTTTTTTCTCTAAAATCTATTCCTTCCGTTTCCTGTCTAAAACTTCCTTCCTTATTCTTTTCTTCATTCTTTCTTTCCAGATATTTTCTCCAAGAATCTATTCCTTATGGCCCTTCCTTCTCTTTCTGACTTTTCCAATATCGCTTTTTCTATTCACAAATACAATTACAATTCACCAGACTCGTCGATTTCCAATTTCTCTTATTTTGCTCCTCCTCCCAAATCTCTTTCATTTGTAAAGTGACTTCTTTAAAACTGATTTCCTTTCTCTATTTCACTTCGATAAAGTTCGGCGCCGGCCATCTTTACTCTGATAATTCACACGTTATTTTATTCGATAGTCTCCGTTCCTTGCCTGGCTTTATACAATGGCCGATGAAATTTACTGTCCTTTTCTCTTATTATTTTCCTCTATTATCCAACTACGTCTTCATTTAGGTTACCTTATTTTTATTCAGAAATATCGTGAAACACACACAGATATACACACACATACACACACACATATATATATATATATATATATATATGTTTGTGTGTGTGATGTTGTATGCATGTATGTAGGATAAAGATTATCGATACTAAAGGTCGATAAATCTGGAAATGCAATGTCGACACAAGACAACACTTAAATAGACACTATGATTATTTTATAGACAGCCTGATTTGAGTGAACGAAAACCGTTAGAGTAACGACAACGTTTAGAAAGGAAAACTGAGTATTTATCTACAAAATCCAACAAGGTTTGATCAATAGTTGATTTGGCCACGACTTGACATACACACCGTAAACTGTGTGTGTTATTTTTTCTCACTTATTAATTAATATAAATTTGACTGACAGAACGATCCAATTATGGATATAATGGCAAAATGTTTGGTTTATGTCATTCGCGATGTCAAAGGTAAGAAAATATTTAAAAAATTATTTGAAATTTTCGCATTTAATGAGAATATATATATATATATATATATATATATATATATATATATAGCATAATGAAAGCCACGTATACTTACTTAATATGTATATATAGAAAAGTTTCAAATTAAAATTATAATGTTTTATTTATGAAAGTATTTATTTATTTATATATAAATAAATAAATACTCATAAATAAAACATTATAATTTTTAATTTGAAATTTTTCTATATATATATATATATATATGTGTGTGTGTGTGTGTGTGTGTGTGTGTGTGTGTGTGTGTGTGTGTCTGTGTGTGTAAATAATATTATTTCATAATTAGTGAGGTAATTCCAAAGAGATATAAATCTCAACAGTCCTTAAAATCCATTAGTAATAAGCTGTATATATATATATATATATATATATATATATATATATATATATATATATATATATATATATATATATATATAAGGTACAAAAAAGTGATTAGTAGTACTTAACTTTATTATATATATATATATATATATATATATATATATATATATATATATATATATATATATATATATATATATATTGGTAACTACACTTGTCTCAGAAAACCTTCGGTTTCTTGATTTGCTAATGGTCAAATCAATTTCGAAGGAAAAAAAGTTTTAAAAAAAGAAAAGAGCAAGGAACATGAACGTCTGTCGAAAATAATTGTACAGCATACAGGTTCAAAGCCCACCCCAAAGTAATCAACTAACTAAAACAGTGCTAAATACAAAAGTAGAGCAGACCTAGTCAAACCAAGAGAGCCAGACAAACCTACCAAGGTTTCACCTAAGTGGATCGTCAGGGGAAAGCTGGCTAAGCTAAGCTAGCTTTCCTGTCGATCCGCTTAGGTGAAATTTAAAATATATATATATATATATATATATATATATATATATATATATATATATATATATAGAGAGAGAGAGAGAGAGAGAGAGAGAGAGACCCAAAACGACCCCCCGCAGGTTTTTGAATTCAGAGTTGTCCTTCTCCCAGACCAGTTGCCATCCAAGGCTATAGAACCCAGTCTGTTCTGCTATTTACCCATAGCTGGAGGGAGAAGAAGAAGATTCATACCTTTCCCATATATATATATATATATATATATATATATATATATATATATATATATATGCCAGTAGAATGAGAACAAATGGAGTATAATTTTTAATATGCTTTTGTTTTAATATCTTCAAATATATATGTATATATATTAATATCCTAAAATATATATCTATGCATGTATCTAGCATGAAACAGACTGTCGCCTCTATGTGTTGACTTCTATGCTCACTTTTATATTTACATACGCTCTATCTGTGATATTGAGCACTTTATCCCATAAATATAGAACACCTTAAAACTATATTTCTTCATATATATATATATATATATATATATATATATATATATATATATATATATATAACATCTTCATCTCTATATATATTTAAATAAAATAAATGTCTGATACCACAGAACATACATAGTTTTAAACAGACAAATCCGCATATTTTTCTCTTAAAAAGTTAAGCTTCATTTTTAGTCAATACCTCATCATAAGAATTGTTGGTGAATAGTACAATGTAACGATAATCGCGGGAAATAGACATACTAGTAGGATAGGAGGAACTATAGTTAAAATACAATTCAATATTAAAAAAGCGAGGAGAAAAAAAGGGTGAATAGCAAAGAAAAAAAAAAAATAAATAAACGGAATAAGCAGTCCAAGTGAGTTTAAAAACGAAAATATAGGCTTATAAACAAGGCAGTAGAGAAAGATAAGGAATGACTTTCTCCTCTCTTCGGCACAAAGTCGGTGAATACAATTTAATATATACTACTTCTAAGATGTACAGATGCTTAGCCGACTGTGCTTTGCTCAAGATGTAAAACCACGAATCACTATATTTATATATGTCTAACAAAATGATAGTGACTCCATTTTGTTCTTCATAATGATCGAGTACTCGACATTAAATAATAGAAAAAAAAACCTCTTGGATAATGTTATATACCGTATCTAGGGACACTAAAGGTATGTTGCAATCCTCATGAATAGGTTGGACACTATGGTAAGTGGGGGGGATATGCAGTTTAAATAGTCCACCACTAGCAGTGGTTTACCTATTTCACGCTGCTAGAGAGTATTGTATTTTGTTAATGTTATAAAGATTACCATTTCATTTCTAACCTCCGTTTTGGTTAGTCATCATTCAGTAACCTTTTCTAGGTTACAACAGATAGTTGACCCACAATTCCGATCCGCATGTACTTAATCGTAAGTGGAAAAAATACAGTCTTATATGAGATAATTCCACGTGTAATGCAGATCCGAGGATTACGATATCAAATAATATATGTATATAAAGATATTGCACTTTGTCGCTACTACTCTTTGAGAAAAAACAGTATGTAGGCAAATAGAAGAACCAGAAAACATCATTGGGTATAGCAAAATTACAGCTGTTACATTAGAGATTTCCTACTAGTTGGATACATGAACGAAGGCTAAGATATCCTACAAACCTGCTGGTCTCACCCAACTTATGTATTTCTACATCCTCACTTCTACATACATATATACGCATATAAGTGGCTAATGATTGTATTATCTGGTTTGATGAATGTCGTCTCTTCATTTATCATCGGGCGATAATGTGCACGTATATAAAACTCTTTAGCTCAGCATGCGTTTTGCAGGATCATATGCAGATATGTCACTTGAAATCTGCATCTATCAAGATCATCTACCTCTCCGTATTTTTGAATGTTTGGTCAAACTGTTACACACAAAGCCGCATCTTGAAGAGGTGTGCCGTGGTGGAAGTGATGGAAGAACACCTTCCCGGTTGAGCTTCCTCCATGTTGCACGACTGTCGGTCGAATTCTCCCAATAGTCTGCATCTATAGTCAAGGCTTTACGGTTGATTTCCTGTTGCATCCGTAAACTGCTTCCTTGATTTAACCTGCAATCTTTCCTTTTGGTTATCTACTTATAAAATATCTATCTCTGGAGCCTTTTATCTCGTATGCTGAAGACAAGACCAGCTCAGTGCATTTGGTTAAGAATTATTCTTTCCTTATTGATATATCAGTACGCATACATATAATTATTATGTATGGGCACGTCGACGTTGTGTAACGGTTAGAAAGCTTATCTCACTAGAACAATCACGACTATGTAATGAGTTCGATCCTCACTGGGTATCGCATACATTCGCCCTTGTGCCACATCTAAGCTACGCTTAGAAAATAAACGTACATTTATGTATGTGTTAAATTATCCATATTAAAGTATGTAAAAATGATTATGTATACAAGAAAATGTATACACAATGTTCTATTTGAATTGTATTTTTAAATATTTGTGTATAATTTTATTTGGCCAGTATATTTCAAATGGTAACTATGCCATTTCTGTACATTTCTGTCTTCATTTTTAAGCTTTCCTTGGCTTGGACATCGACTGGCTATTGTTTTTATCCGTCAATGTCCATAGATAATGCTTTTAGTTTGTTTAATCAGTTTTAAGAGCGGTCGACGACGTATAATGGTCATGCCTGCATCTCTACAATGAAGCATACGCCAGCAATATACATCTACTTGTGATCATATCGGTAGGAAAAGAGAAGACGTATTAGTTTATACAGTCTCTCTTGAAATGAATGACGCAATAACATACAGTTATCCCTCCTTTTGCACTAGTAATATATATTAATATGGGCACGTGGCCGAGTGCTTAAAACCCTCGTATTCAAACCATGAGACACGGGTTCGAATCTCATGATGATCGATTTGTCAGGAAGGAGATTTTCTGATGTTATTGGAATGGAGGGATCGATCCCAGTGTTGAGAAAAATCGAGAAGACGGATTTAACTTGTGCAATATCGGAATTAGTCTACGACACTGCTTTCGTATTACCTGGACAAATGGTCAATAACCAGAATCCACAATCTAAACCGACGACACAATTTGTTCGTGATTTATAGAACAGAATGTCTAATGTTACGTAATCTCCAACACGTGCTTCCAAAAAAAAAAAAACTATTTTTATTCCGAAAGATTTGGAAAACTCCGATTATTTATGTAGTGGATCTAAAAAAGGTTGCGTGAACGTTTAATATTGTGCTGTAAATAAAATATGCAATATCCACAAAAATAAATTATAAGAA